TGGAGAATATTTATCCGTCCATCGTAAACGTCAATGTAATCATGTCCCGAATATCTCTAACCACTTCGAAAATAAGGTCTTTAAGGAAATAGTGTTTATTCACTTTTACAACACTCAGCCTAGACTGGGGTTGGACTATTAGTACATAGTCAGATACATGTGGCAATCAATAAGTGTTTTGTCAGACGTTCTTCATGACATGCACCACAAATCCGTCCTTGGACATCACATCATGCCGCAAACACCTTGGCCGTTCAAGATCTGAGGTCAGTTGTGCTCAAGGCACTTTGTCATGTTAGAGACCGTCAGCATTAGAGCTCTGTGTTTACTTCAACTTCTTCGAAGCAATTTAGTATTTCCTCAAGGATCTCAGTCTACATTCAATCCAAATACGCTTGAACAGAACTCAGACTCAAGGAGATTTCATTATCGCTATTTATCAACAATGGAACGTGCGACTATGTCATTCAAATCAGATGAGCAATGACCACCCGTTGCAAACACTCGGAACAACAGTACAAGCCGTCTGACCAATGTTTTGGATTGACGTATCCTGTGGTCCCTTTTTGTTGATCTGATCAGCAACATTTTTGGTGTCTGTCACACTATACTTCGCAACCACTAAATGCAGCAGAATTTCATACAACACAAAAGTACAAAGTACAGGTAATACCAGAACCTCACCTTCAAATTGATGATTTAAAAAGGAAGACAGCATTGGAAACACGTCGGATGTCAACTTAACAAGGCCTGAGAAACACATTCAGTGATGTAGTTAGTGGTTGACCCCACTTTTTTAGAGCTTTCGTTTGAAATGTTTTGGCTGGCGGTACTATACTCACGGGCTTCAGTTCAGAGCAATACATAAGGTGGCCGTAGATATATTTGGGGTGGTAGACGAAGCTAATGGTGAATGTTGTACTGCGAGGCAATGAGAGTCCACAATGGGAGGATATGTAGTTTCACGTTTGACAAACCAAAACATTACGTTGAAACAAAAACAAACTTTAGTAGGTAGTCTGGTGGAGCAGAGTTGGTCAGTTGCCGCAATACATTGACTCAGACTTTGAATACCTCTCAGAGGTCGAAATATAGTGATAAAGAAAGAACCTACTAGGTGTCTACGTTATTAAGAAGGTGACTGCTGAGAGACGTGACTGTTCCCTTTTCCTCAGCGAACCCACATACGTGGAACCATATCATGATGATTTAGTCCAGGGAACTTTCACAATTTTTTACGATATTCGACACCCATAAACAGGTTTTATGAAATGCATCCCACTTTGCTACAAATGTTTGTATTAGGCAGTGACCTGCTCCAGGAGACATGGTTTTGCAGAAAGAGTAGCACTTGACATCTGGTTTCCTTGTCGGGGCACGAAAGCACAACAGCTCAGAGCTTTCCGCCTGGCAGGTATTTCTAGCAAACACATATTTACAGGTATATGAGGTTTGGCCCACAAATGCAACTCCGGTGGGGGGGGGGGGGAAACGACGCTCGGTATTTTTGCAAGGAAACATGTCGCACTTGACGCATTCCCTTCGAGGAGTTATTTATGAAGTATTTTCTTGACCAGAGTATGAGACAGCTGCTCAAAATCTGCACTGCTGTTCACGTGATTATTCCGGAGTCTGAATGCATAACACACACACATGTACCCTCAACTGTACGATGATTCAAGCTACTTATGAGTGGAATGATACATCAATCTAAATCCGTCATCAGACTATTCACAGGAGTTAGGCACGTCAGAGCAAACGTAAAGACGGTTTATTAGAAACAGCTTGCCCCGTGAACGGTTATACACAAACATTTTTCTTTAATATGCTATTTACGGATTTAACCTACTTTGCTTCATTTTGGTGTGGCGTTTTGAGGGGAAGTAGTGTCTGCTTGACCCTTAACGGCTGAGCTTAAAACAACCACCCAGCTTTCGACTGTAACGAATGGACTCTGAGCGGGTTTTAGCAGCGATTTATGTGAAATGAGGCACGAAGGAGTCCATCGACTTTACTCGGATACCGACGGCCTCTGACCTGGTATTCCGGCATGTAGTTAGAGTGATGGTGCTAATTGCAGAAAAGTATATTTCAACAGTGAATTGGGTTTCACAAGTACTTATCTGACGATAAAAGTAAACACCTAGAAATATAAGTTTTACATCTTCATAAGTGCATCAGCTAGAGTGATTAGTTTTGCAACCACGTATGATGACAAACTTGCGAGAATGTCCAGTCGTAGCAGAATTTTCTGGTGATTTTGTGGGACAGATTGTAGCTTACCAATTTTGCTCACGAGAAGGGCCAGCCGTCCCTAATAACCGAACATCAAATCATTCGAATGGATGTGTCACGTGCAGGACGAGGACCAAGCGAAGGCATGATCTGATTGGTCAGAATGTCAGTCAATCCGAGTGGAGCATCCTTAACTCGACGCCCCCGCTCCTTCATGAAAATTCTCCCACGTCCTTGTGGAACACTCTGTGACTACTCCATAAGCACAGGTGTAATAATTTTCCTTGGTCTCCATAAATGGCTGCGTAGAGCCACCGTGCCTTTTGACATATCATAGTGGGTCGAGCAGGAATCCAAGGGACCGATGCAGAACTGCACAATCGTCCACCAAGACACAACAGAGTCTTTCCTCAATGTGTTAAAAACATGACAGAGCGTTGGCGAATGCCCTACGCATTGGTCTCTATGGTAAATACAGTTCCGGGGAACGCTCATCAGCAGACCGCATTCGCTAAATATATGATGTACGTATCTGTTAGCGCCAGTATAAAAAGTTCAATAAAACTCTTAGGTGAGGGGACAACGGGGAATCTCTCCCATCTATATGTATTACACGCTAATAAACTATTTACACTACTGCTAACATATACGTACATCATTCAGTTGTGACGAAGTTGTTCGTAGCCATATACATATATATGTATATATATACATACATATTACAAAACATGCATCACTGTCGACACCGGTGCTTAAGTACAACAGAATTCATTAGATTTTTTAAAGCATGAGCTAAAGAAGAACCAAAGGCGTAGATAATGATTGAGACCTCATTCCGAATTATTGCCGGCATTATGAGCTACTATCGTCCAAGAGCTCACTTAGACAACTTGGAAAACAAAAACTGACAGCAAAAAAGCCACTGAGATCGATGTGATGCCACTTCTAGCCTACTGTCAAGCAAAACTCGGAGGGATCACGTGAACCCTACCGTAGAAGTTGCCAGCAAAATTGGTACCCTTATTCACACCTTCCTGCCAAGTCAGAAACTGTTCACCTTGCCGTCTACGCCATTCCCAGCAAACAACGGAGAACAACAATGGTGATTACACTGGATTTGTAAGAGTTCAACTGACCAGATTTTTCCAACCCTTAAGGTCTTTACTTTGTGCATATTCAACCGTCACTTTTCGAACCCATGGGCGCCAATAGTGTAAGATAAACGAAATAAAGTTTGCTCGAAATTAGCTGGGATTCCTGCGCATTTAGCGAAGCTAATCTGTTTGGCCAACATCCAGAGTGATCAGGAAATTTTTTTCACGAGCATAAGTCTCCTAACCAGTTGTGTGCGTGGCTCAACTTGTTCTGCGCACCATTTCACTTGATTCATATTACAATCGAATGGTTCCTCCAAGCTTTAATTCGCACCAGGTTAAACTAAACGTGTTTGTTCTATATATCGTGAATTAGTTTGTATGGGGTGCTGGTGTGAAATGTTTGTAATTCGCACCAGTTAAACTAAACGTGTTTGTTCTATATATCGTGAATTAGTTTGTATGGGGTGCTGGTGTGAAATGTTTGTAAGTAATATTTTGCAATTGTGCCAGTGACGCCCGACTCGCTACTAATTAAGACCACAAAAGGCGACCTTTTTCCGTTAGATTTTGATACCTAATGATTGCTAGCATGTTTCCAGTAGGCACATTAGTTTATACGGAAAATCACTCTGTTGTGGCTTTCCAAATGGATGTTTTACTGAACTGGCCGAATAGATTTTGAATCGTTCAATCTCCACCTTCTTACAGGGATCGAACATACAAATCTATGGGGTTTACGACTTCTGGGACCGTTTTACATCCTCCGTTAATCCTAAGGTTAGGCTGAGAAATTCGGAAGGATAGCGATCAATAAAGCCGATATTCATAGCATCCTCAAAAATTCACAGTTTACAGCTACTCGTCTGAGGGATACTCTATCTTCAACAGAAATACATGTTATTAAACTTCAGAAAAATCTGCCTTGAATCAGTCCCTGTGCGTGGTAAAGTCCCAACTGATCTAGGTTGTAGGTAGATCTACAAAATTGTACTGGATGTATTTTTCCTGAAGTATGAACCCTTTTTTCTTCTCGTTCTCTTTCGAGCTCCCATCACACACCCTGCAAAGCTCTACGTGAGTAGAAAGCGCTTGTTACCTGACAAACACTAAAAAACGATGAAACAATAAGCAAAGCCCTCCTAAGAAATCTGCTTAATTCGGTGAAACAGCTAATTAAAATGAATCTCCCTCGTTTCCCGGTTGGCTGTTTGAGAAAACAAATAGCTGACCAGTTATATTTGCATCGCCCAATAAATAAATAGTTGTGGAATTTCTCTAACAGTCGTGAGGTTTACATTCACACAAGTTTTTTATCTTCGAACATTTTTTCCACTCCATTTCGTCCTATGGTTGGAAGTTATTTGATCCTATGCCTTCTACACTGGTATTTTTCGGCCTTACAAGCTGCACCGATCAGGTACGTATTTGAATTGCCATAACATGAAAGAATAAGAAACGGGACTGTGATTATCACACGAGAAACCAAGCTCGAACGCCAGAACAGGGAGGCGCACTCACACAGTGTTAAACTGCATCCTGATGTACGCGTCAATTTCGATCAATATATTACTTCAGGGATATTTGTACATGGATATTGCGATCGGCACCCCAGGCCAATATCTAAGTCTTGAAGTAGATACTTCGTTTGCTACTTCCTTTGTTACCACAATGGCCAGCTACAACAGAGTGACGTTCTTAAACTATAAGATAGAAGCTTCAGTAACCAAAGTTTTGGGCGCGCCTGCTTGCAGTGTTATTGGCGATCGACAACTCGAGGGGCGGATCAATACCGACGTGCTGCGGGTATGTCAATTATTCAGTACTAAATAATTAAATATAGATTGGCGAATACGTCCATTCAGAATTCACTTTTCAAATGATCGAAAGGTTAAGATGGCGTCCATATTTTCTCGACCGTTTTTCGGGAAAACTGGGACTTGCGCCTGTTTCTGAAGTCACACCGGATACGTTTGCTCAGTCTCTTCTAAGGCTATTTCCACAGGAACCTGTATTCACATTCTGGTTTCGCCCGTGAGTTCTCAAATATCTGGATATTTTCGTCAGGTATAAAATACAATGAGTCAGCAATTTCATGCATAACATTTTATGCAACGCGCGCGGTTAGTTATTCGAAAACCTTTGTTAAACCGCCAGCAATTTCATAAAAGTGCGTTAAGCAGTTTAGCATGAAAATCGTACACAAATGTGCTGAAACAGTTGGAACAGCCCATAAACTAGTGCATTGAAAATGTATCCTGCAATGTGGACAGAGCTTTTAGAAGTCAACTCCAATGCTCTCAGCACACGTCCGCATTGCAAAGTCACCATTAGGAGCAGCTAAATAAAAAAGAACGAATGTGAGTAAGGTGTAAATTTGCAAAAGTCAGTGGTGATTGGTCAGGTGGTAGTTCGTCTGCTCGCTGAGACTGATAGTTGATTTGCAGATGTTTCGTCAACATTCCAACTGGCATTTCCACTGCGGCGTTGGGTAAGTAGTCCCTCTCTTCGGGCTTTCGCTCAGATAGCTTGCAAAGACGGCGATGTGCTGTAATCTGATTGGCCGCTGATAATCATCGCACTTAGATTCTAATTGCGTTATGGTCTGTATACCTTGCGTTGGACTCACTATATATTAAAATTGTTGTCCCTCTTGCTTGGTACGTTCGTGATTTGTATTGCACAGTGATCCACCTACGAGTAGTCTGATGGGCTATTTGTGCGCTCTCCGATTTTTGTAGATTGCTCTACTTATCCCGATCGCTTCATACCCGACTTGAGTTTTATATTCATGTGATTGGTTGGCTCCTATGCAGTACTTATTACAGTGGGGCTCCCATTATTTTGGCTAATTTACTAGTAGGGTTAGTTGATGAGAGCTGGTTCAATTTTTATATCTTTTCAGACAAATAAATTTCCAGTTTCGTTCTGTTGCTTCATCTTTTCTTTTCTTGTTCGGCTTGGAGTTTTGCACATTTGCATTTCGTTCGTTGGTGTTTAATCGGTGGCATTCAACAATTCCATGCACGCTCGAGTATATTGACGCTGTTACAGGGGAATTCGAGTTCTTCCCTCTCTTTATTTACAACGAAAAAAGCGAGTTGATTCAGTCTCCCAATAGCGAGCGTGTGCTCGCTGGCCCTGGTTGACAGTTTTATTCCATTTTTCCTATCAGGTGTCTTTCCCAATACTTGAATGGAAGTTTACAATCATATTTAGCTTTTTGTTTGCATTATATTTCCCTTTCGGGTTCGGTGGCGCTGCTGGCCGCCTCAAGATCTGTGAAAGTCTGTCAAATGTTCCTAATGCATGCTTTACTTCCGTCGTTCAATTGATTACATTACGTTGCGTCAAACTTCCCTAGGAAAAATTGCCTCGGTTGCGGGTTCTTTGAATAGGTTTTGAAAATCTCTTCTCTTTATTTGTGCTGGATCCCATTGTGTTGCTTTGTGTTGGAGTTCGATTGCTTTGTAGCCGATTGGTTCCCTGATTATACCAGTTTAGGTCATTCACAATTTGATTCCGATGCGTAATCACTCTGTAAACATCCGCTTGCATTTGTCCTTTGGGCAACCTTGTGATGAGGACATCTAACTCCGCAGGCCTTTCGTTGTTTTATCCTCCAATCGTGAACTTGATGTCGCCAAAATCATATAAGTAGTGATGCGGCGACTTTGTAATCTTAACCGTCATCATGCTACTCACCATGGACAGACCGGACCATGGGGACAAAGCAAATCTCCATTCAGTACCACGCGTCGCTAAGAGCGAGTTAACAAATTTTTTAAAAGAAAAATAACACGACCCCAGCGGCAATAAAACCTGCAAATTAGCCCGCCCAACGCATGCATGCAGAACGCAAGCTGGGTATGAAGCAGTCGAGATAAGGATGACAATCTATCAATAATGAAAGGTGCACAACTGGCCTAGTAAATTAATAGCAGGCGGACCCCCACGCAATTCAAATCACGAATTGAAAAAGCAGGAAAAGCAAAATGACTGACTTTATCAAATTTGCACCTCACTGACATTCTTTCGTTTATATTTGGCCACTCCAAGTTGTGAGTATGTCATTTGGGCGTGCGCTCAAAACCTTATTCGAAAAAGCACATAGTAAACCCGTATGACGTTTAATCCAAGCTGTTATTTCTTTTTTCGTTTACGGCCTATTTATCCATCACCCAGGTAAGGTTTGCTCATACAATAGGGCTTTTAACAATAGACGGCTCAGAATTTTGAAACATAACCTAATATGTGTGGATAATAAACCCGGAAAATCGATATTTGACAGTCATTTGGTTAGAGAGAATCAGTTGGATAAGAGACGCCTCAAGGGTGGTGAACATTAGACGAGGTACGAGGTTAAAACCTGATGGTCTTGGTGGAAACCTAAAGTCTAAGTGTAGCAAAAACCACTTCTTACCCAGGGACTACGGAACATTGATTGACAGGCATCAGGCATACGGTTGAACGCATTTGAGCATGTTTGGAGCAAAGTGGTCGTCCGACCAGATTCTTTCCTGACGAACCAAGACTGTCTTATGACAGGAACGCATTATCCATATGGTGGGAATTAGTTATAAGGTAGAATAATGATGGGACAACCCATTAAGTACTGACCGCTGCAGGCTATTAATGAGTGTGCGTATTTGATAGAATGATGGAAAAGTACGTCGGAAACATGTAAAGATCCAAAGCTAAACGAAATGCAAACCGGAAAAATATTTGAACATTTTTCCACTTTCAGGTTTTCTCCTTTGCCTGTTCCAGGACGAAACAGCAAAATGTGTCGAGCGGTTTTGTTCTCGTTTGTCTTGCATGCAAACCCCAAGATGTCTTAGGTTTGCAGCATTTATAATTTGATTTTAAGCATGGATGTCGACCTGCAAATGAAGCTAAGCTATTGTGGAATAGATTAGCTTCAGCAATGAACTAGGTCCACACCAAGAATTCCCTGATTTCCTTCCACTGCTATATGACATGTTTAGCTTACAAGAAACGGAGGGAAAACCATTCCTTTTAGTGGTCGTCACATGAGGAGCCGAACAAAACTGGATACGTGATGCGGACACCGTGAGTGGTAGATGAATAGGGCTTTACTCTGTCTACATGCGTGTCGGGCACAGTACACATCAGGCGACCTTGCCTGAACCATGTCTCCATATCTCATCCGAAATGACAGTTGAACGTACCAGGTATGCCACGAAGATAAGGATTCCACACACCAGGCTTCAACTGGTAAAGTGCACTAGGGGCAACCATATTTTCTGCTTGCACATGTTTAACGCACAGGGGAGCCATGGCACTAGCCTAGCAAAAAACGGCAGGCCTTCTGAGCTCACGGTGATTTTAGAAAGAAGGCTTGTCATCGTTGTTATGTCAGCGTAAGCCGTGCTAGAAATCTTAAAATCATTTGACATCAAACTAGAGAAGGCTAGAAGGTGTTGGGTAGCCGGATATGTGCAATGCCGGATGAACACAATATTGATTTCATGATTTGTGGTTTACAATCTGTAAAAAACAAAACTATTGATTTCTCCGAAGGGATGAAGATGGAGTGTACAGAAACGGGATTTTTTCCTTTGGTGGAATTCATGACTACCGATATCATGGACGGCTAGTATACCTTCCCTTGTTGTCCGCTGATTCATGGACAATTCAAGCTACAAAGTGAGTCCAACACTGCTGACCATATTTTGCGAGGTTCCGAGGCTCACATAGGCACCTGACAAGCACATATTTCGTGAAATAGTTTCTTGACCCAACACACTTTTCTGCATCTTTCGCTGCACACAGGAGCGCTGAAATCTCACGCGTAAAACAATATACTACAATGCAGGCTGGCTTTGTTTTCTGCCACTAGTGTTTGTAACCAAGCCGGTTTTTAACGGTTAAAAGCGTTGAACGCCGGTGGCAAACTGATTCACAAGAGCTATTTGGAATATACTGCGACGCTCCGTGTTCTCCGGCAATGTCTCATTTGTGGGCCTACTAAAATGAAGGAAAACCGTGTGTCACGTATGCATTTAGCTTGCAGTAAGACCGCTAAGATTTTTTTCACGAGTGTTTTCCGAGTTCCTTAAATGGTTGGAAATTACTGTTTATATCAATATTGAGGGGAAAATTGTTTGCTCAGAACTTAGATGTAATACTCATCAGCTAAAATGCCCACAGTGTTACTCGCCATAGTCGTTGCAAATGTGAAGCCCGATTTATCGATCAGATCAATATTTTCGAAATAAATATCACCATTGTGAATTAAGGTTTTAATCAGTTGATGATTGATCGAATCTTCTCGCTTGGAAACTGGCTTGTGAATAGTTCGTCTACACCAGCGGAGACGACATCGGTAGAATTTTGAATGGTTGTATTCTGTCTACCCACTTGGTTTCAAATGGGCTCAAACGGCATCTGCTCCCACTTGACGCCACTGAGTGATTGGTGTGCAAGGTGTACATTGGTACATTAAGAACTTGTGTGCAATTGACAACGATTTTACTCATGACGGTACATGAAGGTAGGCATTGGCGCGCATCAAACACGAAAGGTGAGGTGAAAATAAACAATGCGAACCTATTACGTCTTCCAGAAGCCGACAGCGGACCCGGTGAAAATGGGGCAGAATTCTCAGTCAACAAGGGAGAAGAGTGCACAGCTACAGATGGCGCTGGAGATAGCTGTAGAAGCAATGGAAAATTCTGAACCACAAAGCAAATCCCATCTGACCACAAAAGCACGTGGTCAGGGCAGAACAATATACAAAGAAGTGCATTTACTCAGCCACTCGAAACCAACGGGATTGCCAAGCAATATCAGGAATATCACAATAAGCGGACTTATCTGATCGGATAATCTCATTCTGGGAGATCTGATAGCGACACAAATTCAGAATGTACCAAGCAAATTTACGAAAAATATATACGCAGCGTACCAAATCGAAGGGCCGCAGCTCATATGGCATCACGATTGCAAGACGGACCAGTAAGAAAACTGCAAAAATGGATATAGATATGCGAGTATTACCAACTCAAGCTGGGTCACCGCGTACATAATTACACACTGGGGAAATTTGAACTGGTGAAATGTCACAGTATTGCCGAACTGGAGAATGCCCCCGCGGTCGCAATTCTGCCCTCTTATCTAGCGAAGTCAGAAGCCTTTTGGAATCCAAATATTTTGCAACGCGGTTGTCTGCAATTTATTCGAATGCACTTGAACTGACAGACAGTTTGGTATCTGTTCTGACAAACTGACCTAACTGACTAGCATCTGCTGATACGGTCCTATCTCTGAATGAATTATCACCAACGCTCTTATACCGTCTTTAACCATATCATTCATTGATATCTGATGATTCCCCCAGGTGTGTAGTGGCAATCTAGCAACTAGCAGGCTAACTTTCACGAATGCCATAAGCAAGATGATAAATGCAGCTCTGTAGAACATCATTAGCCACATGACCAGTTGGCATTTGCCTGACCTGAATAAATGGTGCAACGTAACATGGCGGTATCCCTTACACAATAAGAGGCAAACGTGAAAATCTGTGTTGTTAGCCACAAAGTAATATTGAGTAATCGATTACTTTTAGATTCATATTACTTGATCTGCAAAGAACGCTTTCTGAATAGACTTCTTCAAATTCGGCTGTTGATAATTCATTTTAACTCAATGACAAACGACGCGATATCTAACCAATTTTTTACCACATGACTGCGTGAGACTACTATCCCTTAATCAACCTAGTATACAAAGTCAGTTTTTGTGTTTCACGTAAACTGTCAAATATATTCCAATGTGTTGTGCAAGTGTGAGCACACCGTGTCAGCGCAAAATCATCCATATTTTTGGATAGACCTCGGATAGCTTTTGTATGCCTTCTTTGCGCACTTCTGGCGTTCAAAAAATAGAAAAAATGTCCTTGAAATGGTTCTGGAATCTTGGTGTTACAGGAGTGCTACCTATAGCAGTCGTTTTCGGTTACACCCTGGGTTTGGTAATTTTTGGTTTGCTGAAAAGCGCTAAGTTTTCCTGGGACACATTTTTATCTTTCCTTCCCAGTAAACTCAGCAATTCCCGTCGGACAGCTGGAAAAGCGTCAGACGTACGGTTACGGGTGTCGCTTTTGTTGCACACTTACATTGGGTATGCACGAGACAATGCTCTCCTTGAATCAGTTCCTTCAATGATGCGAGCCAGTCTAAATAGCCTAAGATTCTGCCGCAAATCTTGATATGCACTTTGAAGCTGTCTCTGCGATCTGTACTCTTCTAATGGATCGGATGCATTGCCTCTACGCGAAGCTGATGCGCAAAGGCTGTCATTCTCTTGCCATCGGTGTCCAAGAAGCGCTAATCCAGCCTAGTGAAAATATCGAATTAGCAATGCTTGGGCACTCCGGATTGATTTTAGTATGAGACAACTCTACCACAACAGGTAGTTTACTCTTGTTCCATGGGTTACGCTGGCTAGGAAAAGTACAACACATGCCAGTGTACCATCTGTCTTGCAGAGCTCCCTTTGCCTAAACTTGGAATGAGTAAAATTTGCGAAGTGGTAAACAACCGATGGATTTGTACTGAAGATTTAAATCACTAATTAAGTGATAAGAGCGGATTGACAACCGGCAACTCTCTGGGATTGTACCCACCATGGTTACTGACACCGGTGAATTTATCCCAACCGTGCAGTCAGAGGCAATCTTATATCATGGCCAATACCCTCAATGCATAATATCCATTGCCCATAGAAGTTGGCTAAATCTGGCACTCTCTATCAGCTGAAAGCAACGGTAAAATGGTCCCCACGAACTATAGCCAACAAAATGACCGAATGATTCACAAAGCTACCGCTGGAAAACTTCTTTGTTGATTCAAACTGTGCTAACCCGTCTACATATGCGATTATTTCCCCACCTGATACCGATTTTTCAGCCAATTCTCGTGGTGTAAAAACCAAAGCACAAAATGCTATCAGCGTTCTATCAAAAAAGTGGTAACTGGTTACGTGAATCAGCTGCATAGCTATGTGCGATAGCGTATAAAGATAACGTTTCCTCTACTGTACTGTCTTTGTTTCGAGCTGATCGAAAAAACTCCGCTGGTTTTGTTTGATTTGTTTGATTTGTTGGTATTCTTTGTGTGGGATGTGTAATATCATTGAGGTCCAACGTACCATTGAAGTCCAACCTCTTGGCATACTTGTAGAATTTTACTGGGACAAGACGTAATTTGTCAGCAAGATTGCAGCATTCAATTCAACACTGCAGTTCCTTACTTCTATGAGCCAAGAGTGCAAATCAGTCAAATTCATCGTTTGTTGCAGGTTAGTGAGGGAGAGAACATACTGGCCTTCGACGAAGTCAACTCCTATCCTCAGTTGCAGGTTCAATTTGATTCGCTGCATGTTCACTGGATAATGGAAAAAGGTAAATACATTTTCTACAAAGTCTAATAAATATCTGCTATTAACTGTCGCGCGTTTGATTTGCAAGGTCAAATGCGCTTGCTAAGTTTTAAGAAGGTAGTTTAGTTGAGCAAGTTGGGCGTTTTGTTGAAATAAATCAAAATAGGTCAGTCTCTTTCAGCTGATACTAAATATAGCACAAAGTTGTATTATCACGTGAGTAACAATCTAAGCACCAATGAGGCGCTTCACTGATCACCAAAGACCTAGTAATTCAAGGAGCAATATTGGTTTGAAACAACTGATTGTGCATATAGAACATTGCCAGCCGTTGGAATAAACCAACTTTTGATTAAGGAAACCATTAAAACTATGGCAAACATACTTCAGAGTACTTCTCATCTCATGAGACTGGCGCCGAGTTACGGTAATNGTTTGCAGCATTTATAATTTGATTTTAAGCATGGATGTCGACCTGCAAATGAAGCTAAGCTATTGTGGAATAGATTAGCTTCAGCAATGAACTAGGTCCACACCAAGAATTCCCTGATTTCCTTCCACTGCTATATGACATGTTTAGCTTACAAGAAACGGAGGGAAAACCATTCCTTTTAGTGGTCGTCACATGAGGAGCCGAACAAAACTGGATACGTGATGCGGACACCGTGAGTGGTAGATGAATAGGGCTTTACTCTGTCTACATGCGTGTCGGGCACAGTACACATCAGGCGACCTTGTCTGAACCATGTCTCCATATCTCATCCGAAATGACAGCTGAACGTACCAGGTATGCCACGAAGATAAGGATTCCACACATCAGGCTTCAACTGGTAAAGTGCACTAGGGGCAACCATATTTTCTGCTTGCACATGTTTAACGCACACAGGGGAGCCATGGCACTAGCCTAGCAAAAAACGGCAGGCCTTCTGAGCTCACGGTGATTTTAGAAAGAAGGCTTGTCATCGTTGTTATGTCAGCGTAAGCCGTGCTAGAAATCTTAAAATCATTTGACATCAAACTAGAGAAGGCTAGAAGGTGTTGGGTAGCCGGATATGTGCAATGCCGGATGAACACAATATTGATTTCATGATTTGTGGTTTACAATCTGTAAAAAACAAAACTATTGATTTCTCCGAAGGGATGAAGATGGAGTGTACAGAAACGGGATTTTTTCCTTTGGTGGAATTCATGACTACCGATATCATGGACGGCTAGTATACCTTCCCTTGTTGTCCGCTGATTCATGGACAATTCAAGCTACAAAGTGAGTCCAACACTGCTGACCATATTTTGCGAGGTTCCGAGGCTCACATAGGCACCTGACAAGCACATATTTCGTGAAATAGTTTCTTGACCCAACACACTTTTCTGCATCTTTCGCTGCACACAGGAGCGCTGAAATCTCACGCGTAAAACAATATACTACAATGCAGGCTGGCCTTGTTTTCTGCCACTAGTGCTTGTAACCAAGCCGGTTTTTAACGGTTAAAAGCGTTGAACGCCGGTGGCAAACTGATTCACAAGAGCTATTTGGAATATACTGCGACGCTCCGTGTTCTCCGGCAATGTCTCATTTGTGGGCCTACTAAAATGAAGGAAAACCGTGTGTCACGTATGCATTTAGCTTGCAGTAAGACCGCTAAGATTTTTTTCACGAGTGTTTTCCGAGTTCCTTAAATGGTTGGAAATTACTGTTTATATCAATATTGAGGGGAAAATTGTTTGCTCAGAACTTAGATGTAATACTCATCAGCTAAAATGCCCACAGTGTTACTCGCCATAGTCGTTGCAAATGTGAAGCCCGATTTATCGATCAGATCAATATTTTCGAAATAAATATCACCATTGTGAATTAAGGTTTTAATCAGTTGATGATTGATCGAATCTTCTCGCTTGGAAACTGGCTTGTGAATAGTTCGTCTACACCAGCGGAGACGACATCGGTAGAATTTTGAATGGTTGTATTCTGTCTACCTACTTGGTTTCAAATGGGCTCAAACGGCATCTGCTCCCACTTGACGCCACTGAGTGATTGGTGTGCAAGGTGTACATTGGTACATTAAGAACTTGTGTGCAATTGACAACGATTTTACTCATGACGGTACATGAAGGTAGGCATTGGCGCGCATCAAACACGAAAGGTGAGGTGAAAATAAACAATGCGAACCTATTACGTCTTCCAGAAGCCGACAGCGGACCCGGTGAAAATGGGGCAGAATTCTCAGTCAACAAGGGAGAAGAGTGCACAGCTACAAATGGCGCTGGAGATAGCTGTAGAAGCAATGGAAAATTCTGAACCACAAAGCAAATCCCATCTGACCACAAAAGCACGTGGTCAGGGCAGAACAATATACAAAGAAGTGCATTTACTCAGCCACTCGAAACCAACGGGATTGCCAAGCAATATCAGGAATATCACAATAAGCGGACTTATCTGATCGGATAATCTCATTCTGGGAGATCTGATAGCGACACAAATTCAGAATGTACCAAGCAAATTTACGAAAAATATATACGCAGCGTACCAAATCGAAGGGCCGCAGCTCATATGGCATCACGATTGCAAGACGGACCAGTAAGAAAACTGCAAAAATGGATATAGATATGCGAGTATTACCAACTCAAGCTGGGTCACCGCGTACATAATTACACACTGGGGAAATTTGAACTGGTGAAATGTCACAGTATTGCCGAACTGGAGAATGCCCCCGCGGTCGCAATTCTGCCCTCTTATCTAGCGAAGTCAGAAGCCTTTTGGAATCCAAATATTTTGCAACGCGGTTGTCTGCAATTTATTCGAATGCACTTGAACTGACAGACAGTTTGGTATCTGTTCTGACAAACTGACCTAACTGACTAGCATCTGCTGATACGGTCCTATCTCTGAATGAATTATCACCAACGCTCTTATACCGTCTTTAACCATATCATTCATTGATATCTGATGATTCCCCCAGGTGTGTAGTGGCAATCTAGCAACTAGCAGGCTAACTTTCACGAATGCCATAAGCAAGATGATAAATGCAGCTCTGTAGAACATCATTAGCCACATGACCAGTTGGCATTTGCCTGACCTGAATAAATGGTGCAACGTAACATGGCGGTATCCCTTACACAATAAGAGGCAAACGTGAAAATCTGTGTTGTTAGCCACAAAGTAATATTGAGTAATCGATTACTTTTAGATTCATATTACTTGATCTGCAAAGAACGCTTTCTGAATAGACTTCTTCAAATTCGGCTGTTGATAATTCATTTTAACTCAATGACAAACGACGCGATATCTAACCAATTTTTTACCACATGACTGCGTGAGACTACTATCCCTTAATCAACCTAGTATACAAAGTCAGTTTTTGTGTTTCACGTAAACTGTCAAATATATTCCAATGTGTTGTGCAAGTGTGAGCACACCGTTACAGCGCAAAATCATCCACATTTTTTGGGAAGGACCTCGGGTGGCTTTTGTATGCCTTCTTTGCGTACTTCTGGCGTTCCAAAAATAGAAAAAATGTCCTTAAAATTGTTCTGGAATCTTGGTGTTACAGGGGTGCTACCTAAAGCAGTCGTTTTCGGTTACACCATGGGTTGGGTACTTTTTGGTTTGCTGAAAAGCGCTAAGTTTTCCTGGGACACATTTTTATCTTTCCTTTCCAGTAAACTCAGCAATTCCAGTCGGACAACTGGAAAAGCGTCAGACGTACGGTTACGGGTGTCGCTTTTGCTGCACACTTACATTGGGTATGCACGAGACAATGCTCTCCTTGAATCAGTTCCTTCAATGATGCGAGCCAGTCTAAATAGCCTAAGATTCTGCCGCAAATCTTGATATGCACTTTGAAGCTGTCTCTGCGATCTGTACTCTTCTAATGGATCGGATGCATTGCCTCTACGCGAAGCTGATGCGCAAAGGCTGTCATTCTCTTGCCATCGGTGTCCAAGAAGCGCTAATCCAGCCTAGTGAAAATATCGAATTAGCAATGCTTGGGCACGCCGGATTGATTTTAGTATGAGACAACTCTACCACAACGGGTAGTTTACTCTTGTTCCATGGGTTACGCTGGCTGGGAAAAGTACAACACATGCCAGTGTACCATCTGTCTTGCAGAGCTCCCTCTGCCTAAACTTGAAATGAGTAAAAATTGCGAAGTGGTAAACAACCGATGGATTTGTACTGAGGATTTAAATCACTAATTAAGTAATAAGTGCGGGTTGACAACCGGCAACTCTCTGGGATTCTACCCACCATGGTTACTGACACCGGTGAATTTATCCCAACCGTGCAGTCAGAGGCAATCTTATATCATGGCCAATACCCTCAATGCATAATATCCATTGCCCATAGAAGTTGGCTAAATCTGGCACTCTCTATCAGCTGAAAGCAACGGTAAAATGGTCCCCACGAACTATAGCCAACAAAATGACCGAATGATTCACAAAGCTACCGCTGGAAAACTTCTTTGTTGATTCAAACTGTGCTAACCCGTCTACATATGCGATTATTTCCCCACCTGATACCGATTTTTCAGCCAATTCTCGTGGTGTAAAAACCAAAGCACAAAATGCTATCAGCGTTCTATCAAAAAAGTGGTAACTGGTTACGTGAATCAGCTGCATAGCTATGTGCGATAGCGTATAAAGATAACGTTTCCTCGACTGTACTGTCTTTGTTTCGAGCTGATCGAAAAAACTCCGCTGGTTTTGTTTGATTTGTTTGATTTGTTGGTATTCTTTGTGTGGGATGTGTAATATCATTGAGGTCCAACCTCTTGGCATACTTGTAGAATTTCACTGGGACAAGACGTAATTTGTCAGCAAGATTGCAACATTCAATTCAACACTGCAGTTCCTTACTTCTATGGGCCCAGAGGGCAAATCGGTCAAATTCATCGTTTGTTGCATGTGCCTACCAGCAGAGTTAGTGAGGGAGAGAATATACTGGACTGCGATGAAGCCAACTCTTATCCTCAGTTGCACGTTCAATTTGATTCGCTACATGTTCATTGGAGAATGGATGAGCTCTGGGAAAAGGTAGATACATTTCCTACAAAGTCTAATAAATATCTGCTACTAACTGTCACGCGTTTGACTTGCAAGGTTGAATGCACTTGCTAAGTTTTAAGAAGGTAGTTTAGTTGAGCAAGTTGGGCGTTTTGTTGAAATAAATCAAAATAGGTCAGCCTATTTCAGCTGATACTAAATATAGCACAAAATTGTATTATCACGTAACAATCTAAGCACCAATGAGGCGCTTCACTGATCACCAAAGACCTAGTAATTCAAGGAGCAATATTGGTTTGAAACAACTGATTGTGCATATAGAACATTGCCAGCCGTTGGAATAAACCAACTTTTGATTAAGGAAACCATTAAAACTATGGCAAACATACTTCAGAGTACTTCTCATCTCATGAGACTGGCGCCGAGTTACGGTAATACATAGTATACCTTAATTACAACAACGTTTGCCGAAATCAAACGACGGCTAACAGCCGTATAAATCACGCTGTACTGGCAATGGTCAGCACCTCTTCCTCTATGCTTAATGTATTGGGTATGCTTTGATGCTGTCCGCAGTTATTTCGTCAAATTTCTTACCTAATCCACCGGTGTTGCTTTATAGAAAAAGGACCGAAACATTTTTGTTTGCAAATCGGGGATTCGCAGCAAAACCGGCCTGCCCGTTTGGGAATTCGGATACAAGCTGATGTACAAACTTTTTACGGTTTATGATTTAAAAGGCGCAAGAATGGGACTCGCCGACGCAAGCCACCCATGAAACAGTTCTCGCTGTCGGAGAAATCAAGCTTGTGCCATGCATGAATTTGGCTTGATGAGGTTCATTTTTCATTGCATGCTTCAGATAAACCAAGGTTTATTGTAGCACACCCTGCTTTCTTCAAATAGGGTAGGGCCGCTTGAAAAAGTTAAGAAGCGTGAGTAAATTTCGGTTTGTTGAAAAAACACTGATACCTGCCGATTCATTTTAGTTTTTAGGTGATTTAATTCAACATTTTGGAATGAGCAGAGCCGATCTTTACAGTTCTTGCACACGGAGCGTTATTGTTCTCTCAATACGCCAAATTCCTTTGATAAGATTAGATAATCAACATAGCAAAATTCAACACTTAAAAAGATGCTGACAGCGTACTGGCCGAATACATTGTAATCCACCTACTCCATTTTGTCGAATAATTTCCCGGGAGATATAAGCTTCAGCGTAAAAGGCATTGGGGAGTAAGGATAAATTTATGCAAAGAAAAAAGCGCGTGGGTCCAGGGACAGGTGTTTCGAGCCCGTCGCACACCATATGCCGATGCGTTGGTGATTCGATGGTTTTCATCCTTTTTATGATGGTCTTACAAGTTTCAAAACCGACCATTGAAAGTGACATTTTGGGACGAGCTTGAAATTCCCTGGACTATCCAGCTGCAGTCAGAAGTTCGAGTTGTATCGTCTTTCTGCGAACCAACGGCCAAATACGCTCACGTCGTTTCTGGATAACTGACCATGTCGCAAGTTGAAATTACAGACGGACAATAAAAGGGAAGCTGAATTCTACAGAGAACTTGCCAATAAAAAAACGCGGTTTGTTGATAGCAGTCCTTTGGACAGCAAGCAAACCTTATTTAATTGACGGGGTGGCCAACATTTCCATAAGAACAAAGATAAGTGTACGTTCTTCCCCACAGTTTTACCTCGTAACGATGCCGCATGTCACGGGAAGCGGTGTTTAAACAAGGGACATTTTAGGGAAGAATTTGTCGCTAAAATGGGTAAAATATGACCAGCGAAACTAATTGCGCCCGTTCGTGAATTAAATGAGTCCTTACAATGTGGATAGTTGGAGGAACAACCGCAAATATGGAACGTGCTCTACACTGGCAATCAAAACCATGTTGATGCTGGGAGAAAAGATCTATGGACAAAGGTGAAAATCATATCTTTTGTGGGATTTCGTCCTGTAAGTGAAGCCAATCTATGCTGAAAAGCCGAGAAGCACTGTACAGCTGTTTCATCCTTATTGGGAATCATCAGCAGTGCGCATCTCACGAAACTCCGAAGAGTCTTGAACACGCGACCTCCCAGCTAGTAGTTTGAACACCTAACCATTCGGCCACGAGTGGNTTTCGTTTCGTGAGATGCGCACTGCTGATGATTCCCAATAAGGATGAAACAGCTGTACAGTGCTTCTTCGGATTTCAGCACAGATTCACTTACAGGAGCACCTATTTAAATGTGTGTTCTTTCAAAACGGAGTGGTTCCTGTGAATGTAATTCAATGTTGTGATGCCTCGCTTGAGGGCGCCTACTCAGCTGATTTGGGGGAAGAGATATCCAACACTTCCAAGGAAAATTCTGAAGCCACAAAATAAAACAGCTGACAAAAACTGTGATGTTATTAAGATTATCTTAGAGTTCCCGGTCATCTGCTTGTCTTTGGGCCACATAAACCTAAGGTCTATTATCTCGGCGACTAAGATTCATGCACACTGCCATCTCAGCAAGGTTGAATTTTACGAGGGATGAATATCGTGTTTAAAGGAATCAGAAAGCTGTGCGTTAATTAGTTTGAGGTTCAAACTTTTTCGTATTCTACGGTATTCTGCAAGCTGCTCTCCCTGAATATACTCGTAGCAAGAACCAAAATAAACAGTTTTCATCCAGACAATTCTCCTATGCTCCTGGAAAGTCCATTCGCCTTAAGTCGGGAAACGTCGAAGATTTCGTACTAATTATAGAATTGTATACGCCAGCAGCGTTGAATGCGCTAACAATTTTGACCCCAACTCTCATTCACGCGTAACTCAGTTTGGTTTACAGCGTTCTGAAAACAATCGCAATGCGCTGACCAAAAAAGCAATATATGAAGTGGCCTGGCGCAAGAGCCACTAATCCAGCAAAACTGTTTTTTCAGCTTGAAGTGCTTTTCTTTTGTTTTAACAATGAGCGGATGTTCACTAAAATCGGAAGAACAGTGACCTGGTAAAACCAAGACTCAAAATATTACCCTGCTTATGGAGATTATAATTTGACAGGTACGCCACACCTGTTCTAGGTGGCCATGATAAGATTTGGACTAAAACAATTTTAAATATAGAGTGTAACAAGTTGGAACAAAAGGGAGTGATTATGTTGTTTTGGGATAGCTCAATGGCCCATTAAGGCGTATACTTAATTGTAACCGGAGGACAGTTGTGACAACACGACACGTTCATTGACATATGGTTAAATGGTTCCATCACTTGTTTTGACTCTCATAAATGAAAGCAATCTGACATTGTGGTTCTCATTCCCCTTATGTCTGATCTCACTGGTATCGGTCCACTCAAAATATAGGATTTTGCACTTCGGCGTCCGGGTAGCGATCACATACAAACTTCCAAGGAACGCCAAGCTAGAAAAAATTTATTACGTCCTTTGAGCCAATAATACAATTATTGAACATGCTCAGATATGGACCATATACGGAGTTCGAGCTCTGAGGATACACACGCGCGCTGCTTCATCGACTGTTCCACATACTGAGAGAACGTTCTTAATCCTCTGTGTTCCATATGACGTGGGTGTTTGAATTAGACACCGTCAAAAGTGCTGACTTTTTTAATTTTGTAGTTTGTAGGTGCCCTAGAAACAACAACAGCAACTGAACAGTGACCCAAAAAGCCAACAACACCAGCAGTTCCGAAATATATTCTTTAATGTCACCGCGGGAACCTAATTATTATCTCATAATAAAAGCTGGAGAGGATTGTCCGAGGACAAAACAATACCGACTGCGATTAGATGAAAAACATTTCTCACTTTAGTGGCTGAAAAACTTCATAGTCATGTGACGGTTTCATTCATCGGACAGACTCATTTACGAGGTTTCTCCAAACTCAAGTTCTTCTCGAAACGCACTTACACGAAATTAGCGATGCGCACTTAGTTACACCAAATTTGCATTTCGTACTTCGTACAATTGGACCAGNCTTCTCATCTCATGAGACTGGCGCCGAGTTACGGTAATACATAGTATACCTTAATTACAACGACGTTTGCCGAAATCAAACGACGGCTAACAGCCGTATAAATCACGCTGTACTGGCAATGGTCAGCACCTCTTCCTCTATGCTTAATGTATTGGGTATGCTTTGATGCTGTCCGCAGTTATTTCGTCAAATTTCTTACCTAATCCACCGGTGTTGCTTTATAGAAAAAGGACCGAAACATTTTTGTTTGCAAATCGGGGATTCGCAGCAAAACCGGCCTGCCCGTTTGGGAATTCGGATACAAGCTGATGTACAAACTTTTTACGGTTTATGATTTAAAAGGCGCAAGAATGGGACTCGCCGACGCAAGCCACCCATGAAACAGTTCTCGCTGTCGGAGAAATCAAGCTTGTGCCATGCATGAATTTGGCTTGATGAGGTTCATTTTTCATTGCATGCTTCAGATAAACCAAGGTTTATTGTAGCACACCCTGCTTTCTTCAAATAGGGTAGGGCCGCTTGAAAAAGTTAAGAAGCGTGAGTAAATTTCGGTTTGTTGAAAAAACACTGATACCTGCCGATTCATTTTAGTTTTTAGGTGATTTAATTAAGCACTTTGGAATGAGCAGAGCCGATCTTTACAGTTCTTGCACACGAAGCGGTATTATTCTCTCAATACGCCAAATTCCTTTGACAAGATTAGATAATCAACATAGCAAAATTCAACATTTAAAAAGATGCTGACAGCGTACTGGCCGAATACATTGTAATCCACCTACTCCATTTTGTCGAATAATTTCCCGGGAGATATAAGCTTCAGCGTAAAAGGCATTGGGGAGTAAGGATAAATTTATGCAAAGAAAAAAGCGCGTGGGTCCAGGGACAGGTGTTTCGAGCCCGTCGCACACCATATGCCGATGCGTTGGTGATTCGATGGTTTTCATCCTTTTTATGATGGTCTTACAAGTTTCAAAACCGACCATTGAAAGTGACATTTTGGGACGAGCTTGAAATTCCCTGGACTATCCAGCTGCAGTCAGAAGTTCGAGTTGTATCGTCTTTCTGCGAACCAACGGCCAAATACGCTCACGTCGTTTCTGGATAACTGACCATGTCGCAAGTTGAAATTACAGACGGACAATAAAAGGGAAGCTGAATTCTACAGAGAACTTGCCAATAAAAAAACGCGGTTTGTTGATAGCAGTCCTTTGGACAGCAAGCAAACCTTATTTAATTGACGGGGTGGCCAACATTTCCATAAGAACAAAGATAAGTGTACGTTCTTCCCCACAGTTTTACCTCGTAACGATGCCGCATGTCACGGGAAGCGGTGTTTAAACAAGGGACATTTTAGGGAAGAATTTGTCGCTAAAATGGGTAAAATATGACCAGCGAAACTAATTGCGCCCGTTCGTGAATTAAATGAGTCCTTACAATGTGGATAGTTGGAGGAACAACCGCAAATATGGAACGTGCTCTACACTGGCAATCAAAACCATGTTGATGCTGGGAGAAAAGATCTATGGACAAAGGTGAAAATCATATCTTTTGTGGGATTTCGTCCTGTAAG